CGGGCACCTGTTGCAAGTGGTCTGTCAACTGCCAACAACTGTCGATCAACGTACGACAAATAGACATCAAAGATGGCTTCAGGTCGTGGAATAAACAACCTAATAATCTAAAACTTGACACAAGATACAAAACATTTGAGAAACAACCCTTACGTTTTTTTTTTACGCAAACGATAAACAGCATCATGGTAAAGTTATTACAATAACCGACTTAAACTTAACTTGCAAAGAAATAGATACAATTTATTCTAAATTAAGAATCAGTCAGAATCATGTCAAATAAAGTTTATCTTTGATTATAAATATTTGAAATCAAAACCTTGTTACTTGTCACATGGTTTCTCAGAGCCCACATCAATCACTCAAGACATTATCCAGAAACGTTCGGATTTTATCTGCGCGCGCCGTAATCGACTCTGCTTTTTATAACACCTATTTCATATGATGTGATATAGAAACGGATTCTGAGTGTTTTAGTCTACAAATTAGTTTTGAAAACCACCTAATTTTGAACAAATAATGTTAAACAAACTTTTTAAATATCAAGTATTTAAATGTAAATACAACTTTTAATTTACATGTACATAATTTATTAATCCTTTTATCGGAATTTGCATTCTTGTAGGGAGAAAATTATACCCCAAAATTGTTTTCGGAACTTTTTTTTTCAAATTATTGTACTACATTAGAAGATTACAATTGAAAGCATGTTAAAGAGTTTATCCAAAGAACGCGTGTTTTACTATAGAACATTGATTGTTAATGACTGGGTTCATTTTGCTCGTACTTTCTGTTTTTCCTCAGCATCTGGTAAAATTTCCAACTTGACATTTTCATGTCTGATCAAGATCGTCATAAATCAGTCGCTTGTTATCTAAGTCACGGAAAAGGAAAAATAATTTACGACTAGGGGAGTAATGCTCAAAATTTATATTCACTGTAACCATAACCGCATTGCAAACAAATTATTGCTCCACACGAAATAAACCCTATCTTGAAAGAAATGTTTTCTGAAATATATTCGTATATAATTGTATATGGGGGCTATTCTTGGCGTTTAACGCTTTCCATGAGTTTTTGTAGTAAGTTATTAAAGCAGGGTTTGCTGTGAATTATGGGAAATGAGGTGAAAGGTAAGGGAAGAAAACATACATCCACAATTTAATCCGGAAGTCAAATTCAAACATTTTTTGTCAATATGAATTAAATATCTATTCGAATACGAGTAATTGATTCATCACTAGTGTTTGCCAAAGATAAATACCATAATCTATCTGTTCTTATCGCTTTTGATAGAATAGTTCCTCTGATTTTATTTTTAAAAATCCAATAGAATTCACAAAGAGGTGTAGAATCATTATTATTTTGTTCATTGATTATAATTATACTATCCGTATTTATATATTTGAAGTCTTCATTTTAAAGTATTTCAATGATGCGTCAACGATTTTTTTCTTTGTCATTTAATTCGAGAGTTGGAAACAAAAAACAAAGCATGCCGTTTGTAAGTAAATATTTTCAAGGAGCTCTCTGGATTAAAATCTCTTATGTACAAAATTTGATATTTCTGTTCTTTTCCCAAAACTTTCCAGCCTGTGGACAAACACACGGGGGCCTCTTCAGAACTGGTCCGGAAAAAGCAAATATTTGAATACCGTTGGAAAACATTTGTCACAAATCAAAGTAAATTTATCATAAAAACGAATCTACTTAGAAACATAACTGACTACTCTTTCTCTTCTATGATTTTAAAAGGAGCGATGGTTTACATGTAATTTAATATTTTTGACCGAGTTTTGAACGTAACCGATTAATTTAAGAAAAATTTTGGATGTCACTAAACATTTTTTTATTACAAAGACTTAATTGATAATGACGTTTTTTAAAGTATGTCTGACAGTTCAAGCCTTCCTGATGTTTTTCCCCCTCCATCGATGTCACGTGCATTTTTCCACAACTGTTGCAGTTTTTTAAATCGAACTTCTTGTTAAATTTAATATTAATAAAACGTGTAATTTTCCCTAAATTTAAATTTTAGGTATGACCTTTTTTCTCTCAAGGATAAATTTTGTATTTTTAGACCATTACTCACTACAAGTACAAGATTTCCTTTTCCGGAAGAAAAAGTATTGTGAGAAAAAATCTTTAATTAGAAAAGGAGTGGCTTTAAATATGAGAAAATATCTCAAACTTGGAGTCATAAGCCATTTATGTCCCCATCTATCATATATAAAGGAAGGAAAAACGTCCATGTCAAGAAAACGACGCGGCAAACATGAAAGGCTTTCCGGAAGTAGATTAAACCTTAGATACCAGTAAAGATCCGGAACTTATTGCTGTTAAGTGGATTTCCACTAGTGGCCACTCTTCTTCTACTTAAATTAGTCACGACTTTTTCATTCATAAAAATATGTCCATTAAGAAATCATCTTACTTCAGGAGATCAAATTGAGTTTTTCCTTTCATAGTATTTAAAAGTTCAACAGGATTATAGTTGGGTGAGGAGTATCAGGTGATTTTTTGGAGTGCTGGGACCTCCTTGGTCACCAATTTACCGACTACTGTTCAATTGCAGACAAGAAAAATACTTATTTTCCTAAACCAAGTAAGGCAACTCTTGCTTTCCTTCCTGTTTGCTAGTTCTGTTTTTTTCCCTCTTTCCTCTCTTTCTTTATTTTTATTTTTAAATTTTTCATAAGTTTCGCGAAAATAAAATTCTCTTTTAAGAAAAAAAAGACCATAGACATGAAAAAATACTAGAAATATTTGTAAAATGTGTAGACTCTTCATCTGAACTTAAACTTTCAGGAAACTTCTTTTAATATTTTACTACCTCAGTAGAATATAAAAAGGCCAAAGGGCGAGACAAAAAGTTCAAGTGAAATTTCTATTTTGCTACTTGTTGACAAAATACTTTCATAAAAATGTTATATTACCACAAAAATTAATTGACCATTCAAAATAAAATGTAAAGTTTTAAAGATTTGTGTGCATGGCTGAAAGTGTCAAACGTTTCCTATTGTTTCAAATCCAGCAATAGACAGAATGACTGGAGAGAGAGAGAGAGAGAGGAGAGAGAGAGAGAGATTGACTCATATGATATAAAAGAGAGCTGATTTTGTTTTTCTTCCACGGGTTATCGCTCTAGGTTAAGTGTCTCTAGTTTTTATATTATTGTCTTAAGAGACTTTATCGCTCGGACGTTATGTTTATAGGGAGGTCGCGTGGGTCACATTCTGTCGACTAAGAAGTGATAGCGGGTATGAAAGTCAGCGACAGAACTTATCAGCTTTCAAACGACCACAGACATATCCCACATAGTTTTCTCGAGTGTGCCAATCTGGAATTAAGTGTCAGTTAAAATCGGGTTAAATATATACAAAATATTTATATAGTGCAAGTTGCATCAAAGAGCTTTATTGCATAATTGAGCAATAGTTTGTAACAAACCCCTTTTTAATTTTCCCTGCCTTCAATTTAGATACAAGTAATACATGTATTTTAAACAAAGATTCAGAAATGCTTTTTAAACAAAGATTTACTATAGGCTTTTTTACTTTTGATTGCTTCGTTCTTATTTACGTGTGACTCTTGTTTTATGAGAATTTTAACTTTCTTTACGTCCGATGATATTGCTAAAAATCTTTATTTTAGTAAGTACTCCGATAAAAAGGCAGCAAATTAGTTTCCCGTCTGACGCGTGAATACTTACTATAATTTTGTTTAATAACCTAAGTCCCATCCCACAGGGAAGGTTAATTTCGAAATATTCCGTGAATTAGCGAAACCTACACCAAATGTTTTGTCAAAGACGGCATCCAGACGGTTCCAACGAGACCAAAAGGGTCGCACTAATGAAAGGAAGTCAAGGAGGTGGGGATAGTACAATTTGTAATGAAAATTAGTTCGTTTTATTTAATTGAAAGCAGAGGAATATAATAGATGGATAAAACAAATCTAGGGAAAGGCTATCCACATAAAAATCTAACATCAAGAAAATACGGGGACGATGCCAGGTCTTTGAAACCTGTTAGAAATACAGAATTCAAAGAAGCGGGAAATAATTCAACGGGTCTTACAAAAGGACTAAAGATGCCGGATTATTAAATGAGCGTTCGTTGTTATTGTTAGCAATAAAGAAAGAAAAAAAAAAACATAGTTAACTTATTCTGTTGCCCTTACTACACACTGTGCCTGGAATATTGCTAAAGTAATTCGTTTACTCTGAAAAAGAAACGATAATGTATACTGAAAAGTTTTATGTAACCTCAGCAAGATTTTTATCAGCATTCTGTCATGGTGAATTTTAAAGAATAAAATGTCCAAATATCAAAAGTTTTCTTAAGTAGAGTTACGATCTGCTCGAGAGCTACCTGCCACTTTTGTATGTCGGGGACCAAACTCTTTTCCAGCAGACAAAAAGAAAAGGCTTGGGGTGATTTTGACATCCTGAGGGGTTTCTGCCTCAAGTAACATTCGATCAACTCTTGATAAAGTTTTCAAAGACTGGCCACATCCTTGGGTCTTTTCACGACAAAAATGTCAAATAATACTCCATTGTTTCCACACAAAAGGGTATTTGCTAAAGTGTCCAAGCTTGTTTGGGACCCCGACGGAGTAATCCAGGGTTCAAGTGACTTGGAATTTATCACGTGATTGGTACATAGCGGGGATGATCATACAATGGCGAGCATCACAACAAAAGCTGAGGGTTTAGTGGACAATAGTAAATTTTAAAAACTGTTATTAACATGTACCCTAGATAATAATGTCTGGTTTGAATGCTGTTGGCAAGGTTGAATTTAAATACTCGTATACACAGACACAAACAAATATCTAAAAAATATTTATATGGACAAAACATTATTTGAAATAAAAGTAAGATGAAACGGAAAATATTGTTTGAGAATATTTCTACAAGGCGCTGACAGAAAGAAAAAAAACGATTTGATAAGGTAAAGACAAACTAAATTTTAAGTAATATATTATATTTTTTTCAGGGGGAAAGAGAAACTTGACCTGGTCATGAATTCTGTCCCTTCCAAATCAACATAACCACTGTGACTTAATGCAGCAAAGAAAGCAGCGGAGAAATTTGGATATTGATTAATGTGCAGTTTAATGATTCATTAACAATGGTCCATATTGCAGTTCGCACGTTTTTGGTTTGGGTACAAGATAAGGCAGGGGTGTATCTGCCCCTCCGTACATTTATTTCTGTCAATTATTCCCGTGCCAAACATACAATTAAAATTTTATCAAGATTTTCTCCAGATAAAAGATGAATTTTTTTTTATATTTGATAGCACCATCCATGCAACTACATATTGTGAATTTCTCACACAAGAGAATTAATTTTTAGCCAGAATTAATATATTTTATTTAGGAGACAAAAGATACACATTACTTTAAAGTTTTAATTCAAAATAAATATTAGATAAAAATTAACATAAGAAACCAAGAATTGATTTTCAGAATGTTTTAAGATACCTTTAATTGTATAGCAACTTTTAAGTGTTTATTTTTGCAAAATAAAACATATGTTAGTTGCTCCAATCTTTGATAAAGTACACAAATTCTGACTGTCTCTTAAATGTGCCACGTAAAATCCTATTGTTCGCTGATACAAATTAGTGACAAATTGGCTGAGAGCAAACGGCTTAACACTTGAAAAAAAGATTTCTCATTTTTTTTTCTCAAAAATTTAAAATCAATAAAATGATTTTCTCTCATGCACACCCGTCTTTAATTTTTATATTGTTCAATCTCGTGGTTCTGTTCAAATATTTCACTATGTTTGTACAAATAATTCAATTCTCTCAATTGTCACAAAAGGGGCAAATCAAAGATACAAAATATTTCCGATACAACGAAAAGGGGATTGCTTTGATATCATTATGAACTTAAACATTTAATTTCGTTTTCTTCCACAACAAGCTAATATCAATTTATTTCGTTCTCATCCATAATCACTATAATCAAGCGGCGATCACTACGCTGGATTTCATTCGACAGTTGGAATGGAAATCTTGGTCATGTCAACTCTTGTTAATAATTGTCAATTTCCTGTGTCTTGTGATCAAAATTAAGAGTTTCCTACAGAGGAATGTCGAGAACAAATTGCCACTTCCAACCGATAACTGCAGAAAACAGTCACAATGAATGATACGTTTTTCCTTGATTTTTTTCTTTTTCTTTCTTTCTTTCTTTCTCTCTTTTTTTTCTTTTTTTTTTTTTACATTTCGAACATGTTCGATGAAAATAGTATTTCCTACTCTAAAAGTTGCTTTCTTACTCTCTAATTTTGGAAAGAAAAAAACCCAAGAATTAAACATTTCAAAAAGGAAAGGGAGAACTCAGCTAATATCAAACAAACATTAGAAAATGCTTACAAATCGCTGACAAAACATTACTATATAAGAAGAGGAAATTCGGACGCCGCCATTCAACACTGGTGGCCATATTATTTTGGCGATCCAAACCAAGGGCGTGAGATTTGTTTGACACGAGAGATGAGTTTTCTACTTAGATGTGTTTTGCAGATTTCTGTCTAAGCATGATTGACAAAATCCCACACATGGCAGATGAACGAGGGAGGAAGTTGCATTTAAATGTATTTTTCTTCTTGAAAAAAAAGGTGTATGTATGTGATACTTACTGTTAAATTAGTTCCATACTATAAACAAGAAATCAATTAATTCTTAAACATCCGCCTACTAATCATTATCTTTTCTTTTCAAAATCTTGAGAAAATAGTTTACAATGAATTAAAATTATTATGTCATATTGCTATTCACAAACAAAATTTAACTGAAAAAGAAATATTAACAATGATAAAATCCACCGTGATATAAAGATGCACAATTTTTTTTATAATGAAAATATGAATTCATCTCCTTATCAGCTGAGGAAAGTTTGATAGCATTTGCCATCGTATTTAGTGCAGCATGTGTTTTATTGTATGAAAGAATGCGATAAGGTATCGAGAGTGGAAAATTATTTGCATTGCATAACTTGATTATTTATCAGAATGTATAAGAAAAGTTTTGAAAGGATCGAGACCCCAATTATGCAATTTAATATTTTAATATCTCGGGATTTTACTTGTAACACTTCGAGTCGTTTTAGAAAGAGACGTATATGAAAATCTCTTTTTTTTCCTTGGTTTTCATTTGCTATGCATTCCTGCAAATATTTTAATCTTTGTCTGGTTGAAAATAATTTTAACAAACAAACAAAAGTATTTGCCGACCGCAGACAGATTTAAAAAAAATCCTACGAGATTTTCTAATCCCAGAAAATACAAACAAAATATGTTTATATAACTCACGTCAAAGACGACAGAGTTTACAAACTCTACTTTAAAAAGCGATATACGTGTAGTTAAAATTTACTTCAAATTAAGCAGAGAGTGAATTTTTGACAATACTGCTTCTACACTGTACAAGAAAATGAAGCTTGTAAAATATGTTTGAAAAGTGATTTTTTATTACTTCATTTAAAGTGTCAAATAAAAGCTATTTTAAAACTGCCACGATTTCAGAAGTGATTTTGGTGTGGTCTAAATTTCATAATTAAAACTGCAAATGAATGACAGTCGCAATAGCAGGCTTAACAAGTTGAGTGATTACGAAATGTTTCATTTTTTTCTGCCGAAGCCCTCCTTCAGATTGCGTTTGACGGGACGGAGATAGCGTTTAACCGTGTCAGTTGCTCGGTCTGGAAAACTTAAGTGCCATTATTAATTATCGAACATGATTATATTGTTGTTAGATAAGGTGAAGAGATATGAAATAAGAGCAATAAATCAGTTCTTAACTACTCTCTCCGGTTCCTGGAGCTTCTTCATGCTGGGTGTCGGCAGAGTACAGTGGAAAAATTTCACAGCTAATTTCATGTGCACCGTTTTTAAGGAGGATAAAAAAATTTCTTATCTGCCTCACAAACTTGCCCCTGGGTCGCAACAGACAGGGGTTTCCTAAATAGAAATGTATTTGACAAGAGTTTCATTTCAAACAGCACTTTTGCAATGCAATTCTTTGAACATCTGCAAATATTTAGCATATGAAATACATGTAATGCAATTTTCTTTTTTTAAAAAAATGCTGCAATAAGTGGCATTTGGCGAAAAAAAAAAACTTCGGAAAAGGGACACTTTTGGATATTAGGTGTGAACATCCCGTCACCTAATGCAATCTCCGATGTCAATTTAGTCACTGAAATTTGATCACTACTGTTCCATGTCCGGCTTAAACGATTCTAGTGCTGAATCATACCGAGTTCGTCCCCTCGTAAAGTAACACCGCGTAGATACAAACTGGGAACGACCTAATACCCCCAGGACCAATTTTTGGTCTTTTTAGAGGTGCGAGTGAACTAGACAAAGAAACAGCATGATGTACGATGTCCTACAAATACGTTGGTAAAGGCTTTAACCTTCTCTAAAGAATTTGCCCGATTGGTATAGGGGTATGTGAAAGAAAGAAAAATACCTCACTTCAATCGAAAAGAAGTATGCCAAAAGCTAAGGCTTTTCAAAAAGGACAGGCTAAGAATTACATCTGTCATATAAGCCCCAAATTGATATTGCCAAGGATCTCTGAAGATAGCAAAACACGACTGGTTTCAATGAATATTTCAAGAACATAAAAATTCTGCCAGGAACCAAAAACAACCATTTTCCCTAAAGCACAAAGTCACAAGTTAAGCTATAAATATGCTGGAAAGAATGAATCATTCATCATAAGCTGAAAGTTGCAGTCGAGCTTTCAGCTTGGTCATCATACCCCATCACTCACTGGATCCATAATGCCCCGTCCACCAGACGGCGCTATTCATTGGATACTTTACAATTGGAAATGTAAATATTTGGCCTGACCATCGAGATTGTTGTCCGTCATAACATATTTAAATCTCTCTTGACAGGTTCGTATTTGCATTCTAAATAGTTCGTCAGTTTTTCGTCTTATGCTTTTCTGGTTGGTGCTACTTGCACAAATAGTTTCTGAATAGAAATCTCTCCTTAAACATCTTTTTGTACACAAAAATCACCGGTAAAACAAAAATGGACCCTCTGCTCTTCACCAATACTATTGATTCAGTTTTAATGTTTATTTTGTAAATGATTTTAGATATGTAAACACAATACTGTACCACCCTGGATTATTGTATACCCGGTTTTAAACATAGAAATCAGAATTTTTGTAAGGAAAAAAAAAGAACGTCACAATAAGCAACATTAAAATAATAGTGGAGGCAGTCTGCCCCAAAGGAAATCTAAGAATAGCTTAAACACTCTCATTGCAGGACCCAATTCTGCTGGATGCCATAGTGGTATCCCTTTGAGGGGTTCAGCCAAACATTTGTTTGAAATTGCAGAAGGTACCCGCATAAGAAGGTTTTTTGCATTAAAAAAGGAAGAATCCTTACCCATGCCTGGTGGGCATCCATCGTGATCGATAATGTGGTTCTTTCTCTTTCTGGGCCGTCCTTTTTGTACCGCGGTTCCAACTCCATTGTAAAATGGAAGATGCCCGCCATTGGGACACGGCATTGTCGGATGCATGCGCGAGAAATAGTCTCCCTGGAAAATGATTTCGTAGTCTGTTTTACAATATATTAGATCGTCCTGCATCCCGAATTGATCACCCGTTGTAAGGGTCTTATTGCACGATGCACATGTAAAACAATTGATGTGAAACACTAAGTCTTTAGCACGCATGACAAGTTCATTCGATGTGATTCCTTGGTGACACCTTGAACATCTTTTGACAGCGTACCTTCTGGAATAAAAAATGTTACATTTTAAAATTTAATTCCAAACATAGATTTAAAAAAAAACTTCTTATTTATCTATACTATAGAAAATAACTAAATTTCAATGTAACCATATTTTTGTAATTGCAAAAATGACTATATCATATCCTTCACCTTGCAAGACGCCATCATATAGATGGTGTTTTGTTGTTTGCTTATACAAGTTAGTTAAATTAGCATGCATAATTTACGTTTAATATAAAACATCTAAAACAATTTTGATAAAAACACCCATGCCTTGTGCAAAATGACATGCCATATGCATGTAAAGAAGAAAAATTGTCAAAATAAAAACAAACAACTTTTAAGCATTTTTGGCTCATTATTTGGCAAAAAGAAAGTTCTAAAAACTTTCTTGGAACAGAACTTTGTTAATACGTATTCGCGTCATGGATCAAAGCACCTAATGTTCTCAGAAGTTGTCTGATAATACGTTTTTTGGCTTCTATGACATTAATCAGTCAAACATGGCGGATCGGGATCAAACGAGAGTTTACGAGATCTTTTCGCAATGATATTCCATATGGACAGACCATATACCGCCAGGTGCGCAAAATTTCATCTGCTCGTAAAATTCATGCACTTTCATTGTTTTCAAGCGCATTTCACGATCATATTGTTTGTATATGAAACTACAAAAAGACATAAAACACTAAAGATGTGTTCTTTATGTTCATCGCTGGATTGACTGTATCTCGTCCAGTTTTTACGCTGCAAGGATTTTCATTTGAATATTTGGATTATTGGAAGTATCATATAAACATGAATTTTTCATATCATTCTTTAATATCACAATGTATTATTAGATTTTTTTTCAACCATTTCTCTCTGAATCTTATTCGCCACGTTCATTCTCTCATTGTACATCATTTATTATCTTTGAATATCGTAATTCGAATCAAAATCTGATAAACGTTTCA